AATCAAATTATCATTGGCCCTGACAATAATAATACTCCCCTGATCCGAGACTTAATGCAAAATTTCTTAAATGTGGAGCGGTTTGGATAATGTGCATTTACAACGAGCTTTCGTTATTTTCAACCAACAGCAAACAGCACGCACTAATAATAAGGAGATTTAAAGACGCTGGATAAAACGTCATAATCGTCATAAACGAACGAAGAATCGGAGTTGGCTGGTCTCAGTGGTTGGGCAAGAGTCATGACCGTATGACGAATAATATCGCGTAGGAAGACGACACGCGATTAAACAATTTAATCTGCCTCTCGTGAAGTAGGAAAAAGCTTATCCGCCTAGACCTCGAACCTACCTGCCTCGATATGTCCCATACACGGCTTTGTCGATTTAAGGACCAAAGGCGAAGGATCACGGTGGAAGCTCGCTCAGCTGTGTCGATTCGCCGATCTCGATTGGCGGCTGCTCGCGCACATCGGACGCCCAGCTCTATAAATAATAAAAAGCCTACGACGCAATTAAATCCTCCGAGAGAGATGGCTAATGGCTAACTCTCGTACGAGCGAACGAGCGAGCGAACGAGCGAACGAGCGAACGAGCGAGCGAGCGGAGCACGGGCCGGGGGTATGGGCAGAGGATGGGCTGGTGGAGAATGGGGAATGAGAAGTGTGCGATGAGGGGGTGGGGGAACCAAGAGGAAGAGCCACGCAAGCATCGGGTCGTCCACTGCACTCGGCGGAGCGCGGCGGGCAGTCGAGGCCCTGGCCGCGGCGGAGGAACGTCGTGCGTGCGCGAGTCCGGGCCCCTCTTCGACTCCACACACTCTCTCTCTCTCTCTCTCTCTCTCTCTCTGTCTCTCTCTCATATCTCTTCCATTCCCCTCTCCTCCTTCTCTACCTCCTACTCCTGTCACACCGGCCCCTTTCACTTCACACAATCACGCTGCCCGACCCGGCCCGTCTTCGTCTGCAGTCGCACGTGCGCTGAGACGCCGAGGATCGCGCGAGTGACCGCGGGATTCGGCGATGCGCGCCCGGGCCCGAGAGCTGATGAGACCCTCGGCTGGCCGGAGTCCCAGCGACGGATATGGTGATGGACGTCCACCCCAAGGTTCGTACGCCTGTTTTATCGCGCCGAAAGATGACAAAAACGACGACGACGACGACGACGACGACGAAGAGGGCCCCTTCTAGTCCCGTTCCTCGACTCCCCGTGTTATTCATCCGAGGCACGCTTTAGCCATGGCGAACCGACGACCGCTCACTCGCTCGTTAGCCCGAGCTAACTAGCGATTTATTTCGTCGCGTCTCGCTTTGTGAGAGCGAGAGCGAGAGCGAGAACGAGAGCGCTGTCAACGACGATACGCCGCTACTCGCTTTACGTACGCAAGCTGTTTTCTACTCTTCTTGTAGAATTGTCCGTGTCAGGCCGAGTGTGCAGACTTTGCTTTGCTGCGTTCCGCTTCACCGTCCAAAACCAATCGAAATAACTTGAGAATTCACGTGCCTAGGATAGCTGATCCTTTCCATTATGGTAGATACACTTCTTTCAAATATTGTATCCGCTCATCTACATTACGAACTATCGCGTTTGCTCTCCGCTTGTTTCACTGCATATTATATACACACAATCATGTGTGCGTGCGTGTGATTGACGGCCGTGCAAAAAACATGAATTTTCATGCCAAACTTTGTATGTGAGAAGATTAAGTACGGCCAGCGCTTCATCGCTACCGTACACTCACAAAATTCTAACGATTAAATTATTTTCATTATTATATCGATACGTATTATTCTTTTGTATTAGTACAAACAATTAATAAGTAATAAGCAAAATGCTCCCTCCTCCTCCTCCCCCCCCTAAATTATTCGCAAAATTAAAAGAATTTGAAACACGATCGAGGTTTTTAATATTTGAAATGCACAAACAATATTATTGTATCCGCATGTCGTAATCGCGAACTACCAAGAATATAAAAATTGTAAGCGCGATAAATATTTACGTGCAGGAACATTAATAATTATTGAATGCAGTCGATCGCGAGGAATATTTCGATCATAATTGTCTATTTACTGTGTTTTAATTTTTATGATAATAACGTACTACCTTACAACAGGTTTTTTTTTATATTTATTCTCCCAATAGTTGAAAAGGCCATAAATTTATTGATTTCGTTTATTCATAACACATTGTCGGATCGCTCGTCGAGGGTTGTAATTATTTCATTTATGAAATCAAAAAATTGTAAATAAAATCATTAAATAAATCGATGATGGATACAACATTTTTTAGAAAGCAGCATGTATATCAACTATAGTAGGACATTAATTTTATATTTTTATTCAACTAATTTATTCATTATAATTGTTTTGTATAAAGAAATTAAAATGTACTCGATATAAATAAATAAATAAATATATATATATATATATATATATATATATATTTTTTTATATTCATTTTTTGCTACAAATTTATTCAATAATAACAGATGAAATATTTTTTCTTTGAAACGACATGCTTAGTAAAATATTTGAGCAACTGTTTATTGAAATAATAATAATCAAAAACGATATTTAATAAATTATTTGATGGTTGCAATAGTTTGAATTAAAGTCAAGCGTCTTCTAAGCATTTCTTTTTATTTATTTATAATTATTTAATTTTTTTCTTATATTATGTTTGTAATATTTAAACAAAATACTAATCTAATGATTGTCATAGATTACAATTTATACATTTTAACTTTAGTAAGACTTTTTTGTATAATTTTTATCAAATATGAGCTCAGAATACATTTATATTTATTTTTCACGATTATTGCATAACCTTATTATTTAGAATTAATTTTTTTTTTTACTTAATTATTTTAAATTGATAGTTAAAACATAGAGAAAAAATTATATAAAATATTTACTCATAAAAATATTAAATACAGAATTTTTTATGTTGAAAAAAAATTCTTGAAATTTTTCTTAAATGTTTTTAATAAATTTTTGTATATTCACAAGATTTATACAAAATAAATATAAAATATTAAGTCTGAATTAATTCGTGCCAAAGTAATTAGTTGAAATTTGTAAATATAGATAATACAATAGCTTTTAGGTTTAATTAATTTTGTTAATTAATTTTATTTTATCTTTTCTTATAAAAAGAAAAAAAAATTGGAATTTTTATTGTTTTTAAATTATTTCGCTACAAACATGATAAATAATTAAAGTTTATTTTGTGCGTAGTTAGAATTTGCATGATATTAATGTTAACGTTTAAAACTTTATGACACCTGTTCACACATAATAAAAACAACTGAATTATTCGCATACGCACATTTGAATTCTAAAATTTAAATAAATGTTTAGATTTGCATAGATGAGAGTACAATGATAATCTACTACAATGATATATCTACTGCGTGCCAATTATTTATTTTTTTCCAAATTTCTCATGCGCATACGTTCTTTAAGTTCTTTTACTCATATTTCAAGAGCAGTTATAAACATAGTAAAACTCATTTATTAAAAATCTTTAGTGATTCTTGTATATTTAATAGTCAGTAGCATGGGCTAAATTTTTTTCTATTTTACTTAATCAATGGATTTTAATTTTATATAAATTTATATAAAAAAATTAAGTACAATAGACATTACGTTCATAAAAATTGAAGTTTTTTTCTTTTTTTTTCTTTTTTTTTCTTTTTTTATTATTATTAATGAAAGAATGATTGACCGTTAGAGTTTGACAAAGAACTATTTTAAAATTTAAATAGCGAGCGCGTTATGTCGCTTGATGTCCTCTTTTATGTTTAAAAGCTAAAACTTTACGATAATAAATAATTCATAATCACAAATACAGTTGAGACAAATGTTTTTCTTTTTTTTTCCAATAATGCAAACAATGTTGATTAACTTGAATTTATTACATGAAATATAAAGTTCTTAATATATTCAATTCGTAAAAGAGAAATTTAAAAATATAATAGAATTATAAAGGTACGAAATTTTATAATTGACAATTTTTTCTTCCCCCCCCCTCTCTTTCTTTTAATAACATATTATTATTATAAATTATTATTTAATTGGTTTTTAATATTATTGAGCAGATCAATTAAATACATATTTTTATTTTTCAAATTTACTCATAATTTTACCAATACGCATCCTTACAAGACTTAATAAATTAGTTTCCTGTATACTATGTATTTATTTTTTATATTATTTATTATATATATAATATTATATATTATATAATTACTTATTATATAATAATATTAGTAATTATGTATATATACTATATACCTGTATACACGGATGAGAATGATGTAAGATGTCCTGAAAGTATTACAAGTGCAAACATATCGTTTCCCTCGTTTAGAGCACTTTAAATTTAATAGTAAATTCAAACAGTTTTATTGGCTTTTAATTGATTATTGATTGAGCAAGTATTTGCGAACTGTATTACCTGATGTATTGTTTCGATACTTCGATAATAAACTTTATGCTTCTTCTCAATTCTCAATTAAGACAAAGGTGGATGTAATATGATAATCCATGAAACTATATTTTTAAACGACATAAATTTAATTTTTGACTTAAATTGCATAGAATAAGCAATGTTACGATTAATTGTGGGTGCATATAAAAAAATATAGGCAATTAATGGCGTCGCATTGAGAAACTTGAAGAACAACAAACAAACACCCCAACCCAACCATAAATAAATATATAAATAATTAAGTAATAATCAAGGGGCCATAAATAATTAATTGGCGCGAATCGTTGAACGCTGCCAAAAAGCTGCCAAGTTAATCAAAACGACTGGAGCTTACGTGCTTTAAAATTCGAATGTAACAGCGATGGACGAGGAACGCTTCCGCATTCCTAGTTACAGGGCTCTTACATTAGTTTTATCTCACCGGGGCAAAGTGTGCCGCTTTATACGAGGTGCGACGAACTCCTCGTCCTGTGCTTACAAATACAAGATTACAAAAGATAAGCGAATAAGCTTCGGGACAAGCGAACGAATAAGTTGGAGGAGGCTTGTTAGCCGTCAAGAGATTAAATACTTTTCACCTTTTCTCCTTCTTCGACTGTTCTCCTCGGGACGCTGAGTGCTCTTATTGGCAGGTGATTTGCAACCAAAGTCCTGGCTCATGTTATATCGAAGCTTCCTTGGAGCTTGTATTTCGCAAATAACATAATGAAAATTAATGACAGCAGCCCCTATCTCAAGAGCATTTGCTACACTTCGAGTGCAATAACAATGCAACATCGAACCTCATCACTGAAATTCTTCAAATAATTGCCTTTTAACATCATATTATGCATTTTTTTTTTTATGGGTATGGTCTTTCGTCGTCGACGGGCGATTACGCGAATGTTCTGTATAACTAACTAATAATTATAGAACATCGGTGGCTTGTTATTTAATCGCTAAAGTGGAAAAAAAAAAAATTTTTACACATAATTTTCTTCTCTTATTCAAAATTCGAATTACATTCGGGTACAGATAATGTAAAATTATACGAAGTAATTTGATTTATTGGATAAATAGTATGTTGTATTCGTACGCTGGTACATGCATATTTAGACGTATGTTTGACTTACAAAGTTGACAATAACGAATGAAAATTAATGTTTTGTCTTACCAATTCATATTGAGGTCCCCTAGAGGTCATAATAACAATAATAGAGGAATACAGATTGGTAATAATAATGATATAAAAGACGAATTTTTCACGTTCGCATGAATTTAGTTTTCAACTGTAGGGGTCAATTCTTGTTAAAAATATTTAAAAAAAAAAAAAAAAAAACTATAGCAATACGAGTCGAATACAATGAGCAAAATAACAATTTATACTTTAGTTTGTAAGAGCAATAAGAATTATTCAGTCTCGTATATAATCGACATCTTCTATCGATTGACTTTGCTAAATGATATTCAATACAAACAAACAATTATTCAGTTTCAAATTAAAAATATTCTTAATAGCTCCTTAAAACCGTATGCGTAAGGATAGAATTATATAATTTCAAAAGTCATTTTGCTAGAAGCAAAAACCAAATTATGAATGAAAATTAAATGCGTATGGTAACTTTCCTTAACGAGTTCAATAATACTGTTTAAAATATTTTGGTTACATCGCAAAAACAAAACAAACAAAAAAAATCCTTATCTTCTTACATTTATTTCTAATTTTAATGTAACGTCAAAATTATTTTCTCATCAATTTTACGTGTCATTATTGGCAAAAAAAACATCTTCTCCCTAGAAAATACAAAACGAACATTATCGTATGAATTTCTTTAATCTAGAAAACTTTGTTGCATCTCGCAACGAATATCAAATTTGATAAAACTATTTGATCAAATCTCATCTTTACCCATTGTAAATCTCACAATATGAGATTCTCTATGTGTATGTACGTTCATGTCCGCATGAGCACACGTGTGCACCTGTTGACTAAACGGAATATACCGAAGGCAAATAAGATGGCAAATAATATTTTATTTTTTTCTAATAAAGAATCTCTCATTTTTCTATTTTTCTTTTTTCTTTTTTATTTTTAATGTATAATTTTACGAAGATAAAATTTTTGTAGGCGTAAAACTTCATTATTTTAAGCTAAATTTTTTCAAATGCGTTACTTTACAAAAATTATAATACAACTTAACTTATGATATATAGTCCATAGAGTCTGAATTTCATTAATAATATTTGTAAACATCGATATTAATTAATAGGAAAAGTTGATCAATTTGCCATTATGAATAGATAATTGACATTTGTAAACGAATGATTAATCAGGATTATTTTCATTTAGGAAAAAAATATTGCTATTATTTTGCATATTTTTAATAAAATAATTATTTTTATAAAAGATTAAATTTGCCCCATATATTGATGATAATTTTTCATAAATATATAATTTGATCACCTATTACTCTTAAGTTATTGGCAGCGTATACCTTTTGTCTATAAGAACTTAATCTTCATCGTAATTGTAAAAACTACAAACCTGTTTAATTCGATATATGATCAATTTTTCTTATTATTACAGATTTTACAAAGTTTATTTTATAATTTAAAAATTTTCAGCAACAATAAAATAAAATAAATCAAGTTATTATTATGAGCAAATCTTTTCTATTGAAAGTATCTATATTTTTTATCGAGAAAGTTTTATCTATTTCATTGCATTAGATGTATATAAGATATTTTATTTCTCAAACTTTTCAATGGACTTTCTCATGTTCTATAAAGATCTTATGAGAATGTAAAATAATTAATATATTGGAATAATCATCTTGTACATAAAAGCAAAAGTGTTATTTTATATTTGTTATTACCAATAAGCAAATATTGTAAAGGAAAATATTTATATAATTATTATTTCTGGTCGGATAATCCAAGAACAAGAAGCGAGCGAGCGAGCAATCATTATGGAATTTGCTCGATCTCTTATCGGTCGTAAGCTCGCGGGTTGCCGTATTTTCTCCCGACACACCAACTCGAAAACGCGCGGTAAGGAGAGGGATCTACAAAAACTCAAGAGCCATTGTATTTTCCAATAATAACACATGTCGGCTCGGCTGAACAAACAAGCTGGCGCCCTTTCGGCTTATTAATACGACTGGCTAATATCGCAGTGGGCAGCATCATCACGAACAAGGCCGACGGTCGCTCTCGACTAAAGGGAGCGGCGATGTCGGATGACGTGGGGCCCGCGGGACCGCGGGGATCGCGGCGGCGGGGAGGCGGGGCGGCTGAGGGGTGGCGGCGGCGGTGGAGTGGGTTTACCAAGCGATTACAGTCGGGCGACACATCGGTGCGCGCGACGACGCCGCCCCCAAGTCGTTTCGTCTTTAAATAGACGTCGAGTGCCCGACGACGGCCCACGGTCTCGTACTCTACAGCAGCGATGCCCGCCGACTTTGCCGGGATAACTTTGCACGCGTGACTCGACTCGACTCGACTCGACTCGACTCGCCGCCACCTCCAATCGGTTCCACTTCGACTCCTCCTTGCCCATTCCCCTCCCCTCATCACATTCCTTCGGTGCTTCTCTGAAATAATACGCTAGTGGGAAGTGAGCTCCTGAGCTCCCTGTTTATCAGCTTACACTTCCGCCGAGCAAGGAATTTCACCCTCGGAGTAATGTTTCCTCTTAATCCGTTGATCGCCGTTCGGCAACAACAGCAGGAGCACCAGGAGCAGTCACAGCAGCAACACCTGGTATCACTTGTGTATTCATCGTAAAAGCATTTTGATGAGTAGCAGCTTGTCGCGGACAATAATTGGCAATGCCAATTATTCATTGTGGTGCGCACTATTTTTACCGGCGCTCGCAACTGCGCCGTTTCGAAGCGCATAACCAGTGACATGGATCCCATTGCTACTAGTTGTCGTTATTTAGCGTTTTGAGCCTTAGTAATACGATTCTACTATTAATAGTCTTATCGTTTCGTTAGCGATTCAGCGGCTTTGGCCTTTCTTGCGTTCATATCATTCTACAAACAGAAAATGCTATTCTCGTTAGTTTCATACTCTTTTCCACAAATCAATCAAATATCAAACATTTATTTTTATTTTTATAAAAAAATTTTTTTTCTACGCAATCATCACGTATCTATTAAATGATTATGAGTAAATTAAACCTTTTTTTATGTTTAATTGAATAATACTCTGTAACTTACGTAGAGTATTTCTTTATATATATATATATATATATATATATATATATACAATAAATTGATACATTATTCGAACGATCGATATGATTCTATCGATGTAATGCAAATACTTTTATAGGACTGCTGTTTAATACCAGGATGAATGAATATAAATGCACCTAAAAAATGAGCCAAATATTTGTCAAATTTAAATTCTTCGCGATACATTTTAAATTTTTTACTTTTTATTCGAATAGACAAAAGCTTTGTGAAAGCTTAGCTAATAAAAAGGTTTTTTTTACAGTTATCGAATAAAACTGTAAATTATTAGAAATTTCAAACTGCGCGTCTATGTGCTATTACAGGTAATTAGGTTTGTCGTGAGGTTTCAATGACTTGCTAGTTAATATTAAATTCCGTTTTTATCAAAGCACTTGTTCAATCTAAATACAGTACACGTCAATTTTCATAAACGACTGTTTATCAGCATTAACATCATCGTCATCGTCATCATTATTATTATCATCGCCATCATCATCATTACTATTGTCGTCGTCGTCGTCGTCGTCGTCGTTGTTGTTGTTGTTGTTGTTGTTGTTGTTGTTGTTGTTGTTGTTATTATTATTATTATTATCATTGCTGTTATTATCGTTGCAGATGCGGTGGTTGACTGTGATGATGTGCCTTTATGCGGTGAATGCTCGTACCGAAGAAGATCAGTCTTTAGCGTCAAATACACACGAAGTGCCGACGATTAATCCAATACCGGAAAAGTGTTTCTATGGAGCACCGACGGAATGTCCTCCGGCAGGCTCCAATCCTTGTAAAAGGATAACATTGACAAACATAAGCACTGAGAACGTTGCTGTTTTGTGTTGTAATTTATCAAATCCAACAGACTTCGAAGTTGCTTTATATCGCGCAAGTAAGATTTTTTTTTCTTCATATATTATTCATAGGTAATGTTTTAATTTCAACATATTTATTTCTGGCATTGAATTAGAGAAAATCTTACCGTACTCGCAAATCAATATATTACGTGAAAATAGTCGTAAAGTAAATCAAATTTAGTATTACACTTGCAGGCAAACGGAAAGTTAAATCAACGAGAAAGTTTAAAAATTCTACTTATTTCATAAAGTTACGTAAACATTAGTTTTTGGTAATTACTTTTTCTACTTGTATAAATTATACTGATATTTTTATGAACGCCAATCGACAAACAACAGTTATTACAATACAATTTTCAATTAGAATATTAACATAAAAATTCATTGATTTAAAAAATGTAGAAAATAATGTCTTATTGCACTATAATTGCAACTATGTCACTTGTATATAATCGTAAATTCGTAACAATATTAATCGGTGATTTTCAACATGAATTCATAATAAATTATTTTATATTCACGGTTATATTATAAAATAAAGCTAACTTATAGTCTCCAATATTTTATCTTATTAATTTCAAGTATAATAATATATCCATTTAATTAACTTGTAAATTTAATTGAAAATTAAATTATGTTGGGCTAATTTAACAAAATAAATAATGGCTTATGAGGTTACGTAAATGCGTGTAGAATGTTTAAAGATCAGTTATCGAATGTAGATCTCGTCACTATGTCATTAAATTTATCGAAAAATATAAAAAAAAAAAAAAATAAATAAATAAAAAAGGAAGAATAAAAAATCGCTTTAAAAGCTCGCCGATAGATTACCAACAAAACATTTGCAAATTAAATTTCTTAAAAATATTAAGGAAAAAAATATAAAAATATAATTTCTTAAAAATATTAACAGGAATCTTATTCTTCACAGATTTTCCAACAAACGTATCCTACATTCACATTCGAAATGCTACTTTAGACTTCATCAATACTACGGAGGTTCGATGGAGAATGTTAAAATCATTGGCTATAACCGATGGCAGGATTCATCGAATCAAGGGACAGTTTTTGATGATGACACCGATTCTTTGCCTCAATTTCTCAAATAATGCTCTCCTCGAAATGGAGAACAACTCGTTAATAAGACTTGCCCAATTGACAACGTTAGACCTCTCTTATAATAATTTGACGCACCTACCAGCGTTAAATATAATGAATGGTCGAGAATTTTGGCTTGACATTTCTGGTAAACTTTATTTTCCCATTAATCATATAATAAACAGCTACAAAGTAATATATATATATATATATATATATATATATATATATATATATATTGCCCAAATATATTTTTTTATATTTATTCTATATTTTTCTCTATGTACGTGCTATGTTCTACTTCATATTATTCACTAAACTTTATGACAATATTTTCTTTCATCCTCTTTAGGATCGAACACTTTGCTATGCCACGACATTTATCAAAATATTAATAAAACTGGAGAAAATCAAATTGTTTTTAATCGAGAAAACGAGACCGTTTGTTCTTCGAGCAAAACTTGGCATTGGTTCAATGCAACTGCCCAAGTACCTTTGAAACAAGTACGTTATCTCAGTTCGGTAAGTTCACTATTTTAATTATTTTAAATCTTATAAACTATACGCGCTGCACGCGAATTTAATGCTGTATAATTTCATCGTTCCAGTTGCAAACCGAATGCCCGAAAGGAGAAAATTGGCAGTGTGTTTGTGCGTTTAGTAGACTGGAACTCCTTAAAGATAAACTGCCAACATTTGCCGTTAGCGTCGATTGTAGCAATATTCAATTAACACAACTTCCAGAAAAGTTACCTCGCAATACGATATCTCTTAATGTTTCCTTTAATAATGTACGTCTCTTTGCGTTCAAATTGATCAAAACTTATGCTATTACATAATCTGCTCATTGCTTTATTTATATTATAGATTACGGTTCTGGATGAACTGAGCACAAATCCTAGTTACGATGGACTCAGGGAGTTCATCGCCGACTATAACAATATATCGTCCATAAATAAATTGGAAGGTTCCAAATTTTTGGATAACTACGCCTTTCTTAGTTTGAGATATAATAAAATTAAATCAGTAAGTTAAAATTATATTGTCGATTAAAATTGTTAAAGCTCAACTTTTTCTTTTGAAATTTTGCATTTCCAGCTGCCCACATATATATTGGCAACTAATGCTTACGATAAAAGCTATAGTAGCAATAGATATGGTGTTAGATTCGGAGGAAATGAATTGCATTGTGATTGCAATACAGCAAAATTTTTAAAGGTAGTAAATAGTCTATTTTATTTATTATTGTTATTATTGCTCATTTGATTAATTTACTTTTTGCGTCAATGCAAATTTACAACAATTTTCTATGTACAAATATAAATTTTTAAAGGTTTGGCTGCAGACGCGAATATTAGATTATGACGAAGTTCTCTGCGAAAACGTTAAGGAAAAAGTTGTCGATTTAGAACCGTCAAAAATGTGTGTTTATCCTGGAGATTGGACAGACTATATCTATTATATTATTGCTACCGAAGTTTTATTATTAATAGGTCTTATAGCTAAAGTGTCATATGATTATTGGGTATTTAAGACAGCAGGATATCTGCCATGGCCAGCTAATAAAATGCCCAAACTTCCTTGTGATTGGTTATGTGAGACGTAAAGTAGTTGCAATTTATTAGTTAATTACGATACAATTCGAACACTTAAGAGTGCCAAAATAATTATAAATAAATGGAACAAGAGTTTTTTTTTTTTTTTTTTTAATGTAATAGGAATTTAATATATGTGTTGTTACCCGCATAACGAACTTTGTGATTGTCTTTTTTTTTTCTTTTTTTTTTTTTTTTTTTTTAAGTAATCTCCAAATTATGCTCAATTCAATAGTTTTACAACATATTAGTTCACAGAAATACAGTTTATCATAATTTTATAAGAATTTGGTTTGTTACAAAATCTAGCTGTGATTCTAATTAATCCATGACGCATGTTTGTACAGACTTAATATTTAATTATTAATGATGATGTTGAATTTAAACTATTCGTGAAACTGTGACTTCTAGTTAATGCATTTCAAAATTGATAAAGATTAGTACTAAGTAAAAATAAGTTAATCAATAGTTATGATAAAAATTTATTTGTAAATTAGCTTTGTAAATATAAAATATTTCACTTACACACATTTAAACAATGATTTACAAGTAATCGTACATTTAATAATTTTAATTTTATCATTAGGAACATTGCTCCAAAGTTAAATGAGATATTTTTTGTGTAAACTTTATAACCGAACATACCATTAATACAATTTATAAACTTGAAATGAATATATGGTATTTTTTTTTTATTTTTGAAAAGTACAAGTATGTAATCAAATTTTTATTTTGCAAATTTTCTTTATCTTTTCGGATAATTTAACTATTAATCAAAGAACTGCACGAATAAATGTATTAAAATAACAATTATTTTATGATTTATTTAAATGAATAATATATAGAATAATATTGTTATAAGATATTTTGTAAAAGTTTTTATTAAACTGTTAATACAATAAAATCAATTGGGCTTAATCGAAATGCTTTCACTTCAAAACATATTCTATAACAATTACTTTCAAATATTTTTGTTTTTATTTTAAAAACTTAACTCATTTAAACTTGTATGCAATGATTGATTGTATCAAACATACCAATTATAAAAATTTTAATATCAATTTATGCGATTGTATAAATATTATTTATTTGCATTAACAATAAATTCAGTTTAAATTATTACTTGTAACTAGCTTTTTTTTACACCTCTGTTGACTTTTCGTTTTGATTTTAAATTTACAGCCGCTGTTTTTAATGATTTACCTACTCTCTTGCCATTAATATTCACTTTACTATTTTTATTGATTTTACGTTTACCTAGCGTCTTGTTTTTGGAAATTTTGTTATTCGATGTATTAGTGTCATCAGCGTTTGTACTAAAAACGAAATAAATAAATAGCAATTATACATAAGTAAAAAAAAAAAAATAATTCGCAGATAATAGAAATAAGTAAATACCGTGATTTTCGTAAAAATTGTTTCTTAAACTTTGGAATAGTACATATACTTTCCCTCTTTGGTGCCTCGCATTCTTTTTTACGTCTTTGCTTTTTGCTAAGCTTTTTCATAGATAACATATATTCTGGCACGTGACAACCAGAAGCTTTCATAACAGCAGCAATACTAAATGGAAAATTATAAAAGGAATGACGTTTGAGTGAAATTTCATCGGGTTTAATGTTATTCGCATTACCTTCTTAAATTGACCGTGTCCTGTTGCGTAAAGAAAGTTATGGCCTTTCCTTTGTGTCCAGCACGACCCGTACGACCTAGGAAAATTGATGTGATATAATATTTAATATTTATTTCATTTAATAAGATAATTTTTGATCTTACCTATTCTGTGAATGTATGAAATGGCAGACGGTGGAAAATCGTAATTTATAACGAGGTTAACGCCTATAAAATCAATTCCTCGACCCATTAGATCCGTACATATTAATACCCATATTTTCCCTTCTCGGAAACAACGTACAATATTATCACGCTAAAAAGTTTTATAATATTTAGTGATTTATAAATACGGCAATTTAAATGAAATTTACTTCGATGATACCTGAGTTTGAGTCTTATCAGCATGTATAATATCTACATTGATACCATCATAAATAAGTTCTTTAAATAATTCATCAGCTCGTTCTTTAGATTGCACAAAAACCAGTACAGGCGGCGATAAACCCTGAATTTAAAAATATATTATTCTCCTTTTGAGCGTTAATGACTCGTTAATTTACACTTACCTCGTGAATAATGTTTCTAAATGCTAACAATTTTCCCCCTTCGTTTCCAACAAATAATAATTGCTGATCGACCAAATCCGCCGCTGAATTTCTGTCATTAAAAAATCGATTAAGATAATGTTAATGGTAGTCATTTGTTTGACACAAAGTAAATTAAATATTGCATTTGAATTACCTTTGACCAATTGTTACGGTAATAAGTCCTTTAAGATTATGTCTACACCATCTTGTTACTGCGGGAGTATTAGTTGCGCTAAACATACCTCGACAGATATTATTATTTGTACATGCTTTTAAAATTGTTTCTAACTGACTCTTAAATCCTCTAGTTCCCTCTTCAAACAGCTTATCAGCCTCATCGACAATAAGCCACTCGACACTGCACATGAAGTTAAACTCTAATTTAATATAAATCAATATTTGCAAGGATACAAATTATAAAATAAAACTTACTTATTTAGGAAAATAACTGCTGGCTCTTGATTTAATAAAAATACAAGTCTTTTTGGCGTGGTTATCAATATATCTAAGACAAAGGGTCGGTTCATTATAATTGTACATTAATAATTATTTATAAACTTTAAGATTGCAACGTCGTTTGTGCTTACCAAATTTTTGAGAACTTTTTGGTCCGTACTTCGACAAGGCTTGATTTATTTTACTAATTATATGGACTCTAAATTCACGACCTTCGCTTAGTCTCATACATTCTCTATAAGTTTGTTTAGCCAATTCCCTAGTCGGACTGAGTACAATGGCACGAAATCCTTTTCTCTGAGGTCCATTTAATTGATGAATAATGGGAAGTAAGAACGCCGCAGTTTTTCCCGATCCAGTTGGCGCACAAGCTAATATTTGCCTCTTCTAATTACGAATTCGATTACAAAGTGTCGGACTAAGGATATTTTTCAAAAATATCATACTTTACCTGCAACATGACCGGCATAGCCTGCATTTGAATAGCAGTTGGTGTACTATATCCACAAGTTTTCATATTTTGTAATACATCACCTCTAACATTATAAACTGTGGATAAGTCTTCGAAAGACTCTATTGGCCTTGGTACATGACTTCCGGTAACCGAAATATGATGCTTATTGCGATATTCGTTAATCTACAGGAAGAAAATTTTTAATAATTCATTCGCAATTGGTCTATCAATTGATCCACTGTACATATCGTTTTATTTTCTCTTTACTCACCTTCTCCTGCTCTAGTTTCAACATCTTCTCTTCCGTTATGATTTTCTTCTTCTTCTTTTTCTTAATAATAGTTCCATCCTGAGTGGCGGTAATCCCATCAACAAGTGTAAGTACA